GCGATACATCGATTGATCTCCCATTTAAACCTACTGAAGAGGATAGATAAACAGGATGCTTGCAACGAGCACCTTAATAATCGATTCTTTACCATAACTTCAAATGAGGTTATATCGATAATCGATCATCCACGCCTCGCCACTGGCAAATTTTCCGTTAAAACTAACCCTACAATGAAAATTGAAACGCCGGGAGCTTGATACCTCATCGTGAGTAAACAACTGGTAAGTGAGAAATTTTCCTACCCAAATTACTGCAACTCACGCACACTATAACAGATGGGATCATTTTCCATAAAAAAAGAAAAATTCAAGGGCGAAAAAAAGCTGTTAGGACGGCGTACTTTTAAACTCAAACAAACTCCCCCAGCTAGAACATTGACAGCTGGCTTTTAGAGAAGAACTTGATCCTTAGTTGCATTAGTGCTTTCCCACAACTTTTCTCGTGCCAGACATGACATAAACCGGGCTGAAAAATGAATTTTTGTGATATGGTGCGTGTGCACTGTGCATACAATACTAGCCGTTCTGGGCGCGCTTCGCGCACCTGTCACTACTGGCTGAGGGGCTGCGCCCCCTGGACCCCCAGTCACTGGTTACGCGAGTGACATTCGGTTCGTTCCGCGAACCCTTTTCTAAGTAGTTGAATATCGACGGTGAAACTACCAAACCACGTATCTCGTTTGCGGTGTTTAAAAATCTACGCTCGCATTTTATTTTTTTGAGATAGACCAAATCAATATCATTCCTTGAAATTTTCACAGAATTTTCTCCGCACGAAGAGGAAAAATCAAAGACTGGGCGTTAAGTAGTTTTTCATTTAAAAAATAAAGTATGACAGGAAGTCTGCGACGTCGCAAACTGAGATACGTGGTTTGGTAGTTTCACCGTCGATATTTGATTACTACGTTGTATACATTTTGGAGACTCCCAAGATAAAAATGATTTCTTCACAGAACCTTGTTACCGGAGCATTCCATCATTTGCACATGAATAGATGTGTGGAGATGAAGCCATGATGGGTATCGATCATTTCTTCAAAAACGCATCTGACTGGAACGTCATCCCATCGGGTGGCGGAAAAAGACAATCTATGGATCTCCTTCTGCGATTTGACTTGCTGAAGTAGCAAAAGTTCATGTTTACCTCTTAAGAAGATTATCGGTGGAGTAGGGGTCTAAAAACTGCTCAACGATATAGTATAGCTCGAGTTCCGAATCGCAATGAGCCCACTCGTGTTTTTTTCTTTATACTATCATCGCATATAAATTTCTCTGATGTTTTTGTTTTATTCTCTCTGATTGCATATAAGTAATCATATCCTCATTTCATTTCCTTTCCCTTTCTGTGGCATCTGTGTCCATTTACAATTATAATTTTAAAATAGCTTTCCCTCAGTATACAATTGATGCTTCAAACGGAATTAATTGTTTTAATGACATTTCCGGCTAAATCATGGGTTTTCCCAGGAAAGCAGCCTCTCGTCTCTCCCGAACTCTATTGTTGCCAGATAAGTTGCGCTTTTAGCACTTTCCCCAATTCAAACCTATGTAAAATATTCACATTTATCGCACAATCTGGCAACCTCTCGAGTGAAATAGAAAAAGGTAGAATCGCTGAAAGTCTGAATCCTTCGAAGTTTATATTAATGATGATGATGATGATGATGATGATGATGATGATGACTAGGGGGCTCTGCCCCCTAACCGCTGCGCGGCCCAACCCCCTGGAGGGCGCTCAGCGCCCTCAGGCCTGCTTCGCGGGCCCTGTACGCATATGCACAGGCAAAAATGTTCTTCCATTTTAATACACAATTTTGTGTTTGAGCTGCATCGATTTCAAAATTTTTAACATAACTCTCAGATTTGTAAATAATGAGGAATAGCTGGATGTACATAATTTGGTATTAATGGAGACAGTATATTGACGGCTAAACTCGGGAGACATGTATCTCAATTTGCGACGTCGTATACTTCTCGTCAAACTTTTTTTTCTTTTTTTTTCTTTTTTTTTTGGAAAACTAATCAACGTACAAAATTTTTTGAAAACGACTGTGATTTCGCTTCTGCTCGAAGAATATTTTGTGAAAATTTAAAGCGATAAAATTGGCTCATTTTCCTTCGAAATCTTAAATTAGATACGGAAATCTTGAAACACCGTGAGCAAGGTACATGGTTTTCGACTTTAGCCATCGGTATGCAAACAAAGCTCTTTTGCTATGCAACATATCGCTAAGATTGTGGAATCTGGCACATATTTTTCGGCAAATCCAGTCCTCATGCATTTTTACATTTTGACTGAAAATGTGCGCTGAACTTTCAAATAATGTATTTTTTGGCATGGAGTTAATTGAGCTGAAAACTACTCTCAACTCAATTTTTTGGAAAATGCGACTCGATGCGTATTTGTAAATGCAGTCCATTCACTGAAAAAATTTCCATTTATTATGTTATTTTTAATTACTTAATCTAAAAAAAAAAAAAAAAAAAAAAAAAAAATCGGATTACGACCGTTGAGAATTAATAATATTTGGTCCGTCCCGGCGCGACGCGACGCAACGCAGCGCCTGCTTTCTCACTTTGTATCTTTCAGCAACCAAGTATATTGACCAATGCCCTAATCGAAACCGGAAGAATGAGGAAAAATTGAATAAAAACCTTATACCTTCGACCTCGAACCTTGAACCCTGAGCGATGCACCGTTCCTCAACTCTCGAAATGAGGAGCCCTGTTACACAAGCTTTTCCATTTTGCTATTATTTATTCGACACTATTAACATTGGACATAAGTGACATGAGCTTTAAAAGCTCTACAACATTGAAAGTTCGGGGTTTCATAATTGTTTGCATATCTACAGCTATTACAGATGACATACATGTAAAGATCATCCTTATCGGTCCGGTAGTTCGTCAGAAATAGTGCTTCCGAGATTTTGCTTGCAGCAGTATAATATAGATTTTTTACTAAAAACACAAAAAATGGTCCACCCAGACTAAGACCAAACAAACAAAATGCATTGGACGTTTTCTGGTAGTACTTCACCCCTTCCTCGACCAGCAAACAAAAAATTCTGAAAATTGTAAAAATTAAGTAATCTTTTTGGCTTCCATTGGCGATTTCCTCATTCATATCCTTTCATGTTATCACGAGTGGGGATCTAATTTATTATTGTATATGTTTTTTGCTTCCTGGTCGAAGAGGGGGATGCCGGATGAAACCAGCCCGAAGAGCCGTAGGTATTCTGTTTGCTTTCAGCCTTGGCTCCCATTTTCTTGTGCTTTTTAGTTGAAATATACGCTTTATTTTGTGTAATATTCTTATGACATTTTCTAAAAAATATGAGAAACGATGTTATGGATAAAGCCTGAGCAATGCGCTCGACCATTTTGCAATTTTTCTAGGCCGAGTGGACCGCAGTAAAGGAGAGACAAAATATTTGAAAGAGCAATATCCGCATGTCGAGGAGATATCTCACCCAGCAACCCGTAAAGCCGCGAGTGCAGAGAAGACCCCAACCTTGGAGTGATGTGCAGTTTAAGCAGCGCATTGCATTGCCCGTAAATCTTCTTAAATGCACCGATATGCATATTTCAGAGGCTTTCATTGTACCACAGTACCCGTATCTCGACCTCAGCTACTTCATATTTATTCAAATAAAAAGTCATCAAGTTCCGGTAGCGATATTATTCAAGACAGTTTTCATTCAACCTCATGATAACTTAGCACTGGGTTTCAAATGCATGGGGCCATGAAGATAAGGCTCGTAGGTATTTTTCCTCATGGTCTCTTTTTCTCTTCCATTTCACTACTTTACAAAGGTCAGAGCCTTTATTGCTGATTAACTAAGATCGGTTTTAAACGAATGACCAATTTTATATTAAACCCAAGGGCTTGATCGGATATTTAAATTTTTTATTTGTGGATAACGAAAAGATATGAATAAAGAGCAGAAATCTAAGTTTCAAAATATACAAAACGAAAATAGTCGTCCTGGGTATAAGCCTCGTTTGAGCGTTGCATTGCTGTTCAGCTTGTGCAACTTTGTGCATGCTTAATTTACATTCAAACCTTGTTATGATCCAGCTCAAAATGTCACCAAAAATCCACCGTTATTAAATTACTTTTTCAAAACGATTAGGTACTAGCATGTGAGTCTGTTTGGTCAATGACAAGACACATACAAAATTGCACAGTCTAAGGAGCATCACATATAGCTCACATATATAGAATTTATAGCATATCGACGGTGTAGGTCGGCAATCACATAACGTCGCGACGTTGCGACGTCGCAGACTTCCTGTCATACTTTATTTTTTAAACGGGAAACTACTCAACGGCAATTCTTTAAAGCTTTCGTGATTTTTCCTCTCAGCGTGAAGAAAATTCTGCATAAACTTCAAGGAATGATGTCAATTTGTTCTCCTTTAAAAAACTAACATAGAGGCGGAGATTATCAGACACCCAAAACGAGACATTTGATTGCGGACTTACGCCGTCAATATACTAGCTCCGCAAAGAATGACCCAATAACGTTCGGAGATTGAATTTTATCGTTCTATATGAACTGGGTCCGTGGCGTATTCTTTTTTTTTTTTTTTTTTTTTTTAAATAAGCAATATGCCTCCTCAAAATTTAAATAGTAGTATCCTCGTTCACGGCAGGTGTTTTGCGCATCAAAACTAAGCACCCATCCTCCTCCTATTCATCGCTCTCAAGAACTTTCACTCTTTGAAACGTGGGTATGGGTGATTTCATGAATTCGAGAAATTGTTGAGACAACTACGAACACTTCGATTGAAATACATTTTCCAGACTTTCACTATCAATATGGTGGTGGGTCAATTCGTGAGGCATCGCTTTTCTTACAATATTTTGGAATTATTTGTCTCATTGATGTCAATTTTTACGTGTTCCATGTAACCTAGTCGCTCATCAAAAAAGCTGGTATTTTATCAACAGAAATACGTTTGAATACAAACAACAATTATAAGGTTCAGTTGACAATCTTTGGAGTGATCAAGTCGTTCGAGTGATCAAGGACAGCGATAATTAGCCTGATAATAAAAACAACCGACCTCGGAAGTTCTAGTAGTCAGTGAAGCTTTATGTGTCGAACTGACTCTCCTGTGTTGCAGCATCTCTAACATTCTGAAAAGTAAGTGCGCATTTGCAATTTTTCATTGTTTAGATATTGTAATTGAGGGGCTTGGAAGACAAGGCGCATAGGTAAGTTCAGTTTTTACCGTTTCGACAAAAAAAACGAATTTTAAAGTTTTGAATTTCATGGGTGGCGGTAGCCACCTCCGGACAAAGTCTAGACTCGACAACACTGGAAAGCGTCCAAACGAAAAAGGTGGCAGCCAACCATAGACACACGTAACTCCCTTATTCTGAAAATTGATTCGGTTCTAACTCGACTGCAGCCCAAACGACGGCACGGATTTCAACGATCTTGGTGTCTACTGACGCACCTAAATTGGGCCTACAAAGTGGAAGAGTTTCATCAGGATTCATTGAGTTTTCAAAAAGTTATAAGCACTTAAGGGCCCAAAACGACAAGTATGTTTTGTAACATGGGCCGAAAGCCGAATAGCGAATAGCGAATAGCGTGAAAGTTTGAAATTTCGAAACGCACCCAAAAATCTTTCAGATTTAAAGGGTTAAAGAACCCGGCCAAAGTCTTAAGCTTACTGAGTCAAATTGTCTCGTCAGGTATTTCTAAACGGAAATGACAAATTATACTTAACTGTAAATCGAATGTAGGCCCCTTCACTTATGAGTGATGCAACAGTCGGGACGTGTAAGTATGTTTAGCCCTTGCAGGAGCCCCCTTCCGTACCTATTTGCATTTTTATCAAAAGTAGAAAAAAAATAGTCGGTATGGATTGATCTGAGCCTTCTATGTGCTCCAAAACGATATGAAATATTTTATCGCACAAAGTCCAATATTTTTCGATTCAGGTCCTACGAATGCTTTTAAAAGAGCATGAAAAAAATACTCAATCGGCTGGTTAAAAGTCCAATATTTTCCTTGAGAATAGTCTCCTCCTTGAATGAGTGATGCAACAATTTCGACATTTGTGTATGAAAAGCCCTTGCAGAAGCCTTCTTAATTTGTCTCGGCTAAATTTTGAAGAATCTTTGACGTGTCCGCCAAAATGCTTAAAAAAGATAGGTCACTGAAATAAATGATTCATAGAGATGTCTGAGGATCCATGTCAAAACCATCTTACGTATCCTACTTTGCGTATAAAATAAAAACGCTATTCTCAACCATCATTTCTTTTTTAAATCTTCATTATTTTCTTTTAGAACAATTTGCAACATCTAGGTAATCTGAAGTCATTTTCATGACGATCAGTTCATTATGCAGTGGTATATGATGCAATGTTATGATAGCATTCATTTACACGCATATTAAACTGCAGCATCGTAAGTTGAGAATATTAAAGATATTGTACAATAAAAAAGTTTTGGGAGAAGGCAAAGGAAGAATGATACGCTCGAAAAGTACGCTGCAAGCTATGCAGAGGCATGCAGCATGCAGAGGGGACAAATACTAATGATTACAGTAAGAGCAATTTGGCGGACACGTCAGTGATTCTTCAATATTTAGCTGAGTCAAATAAAAAGGCTTCTGCAAGGGCTTTTCATACACAAATGTCGCAATTGTTGCATCACTCATTCAAGGAGGAGACTATTCTCAAGGAAAAAAACTGGACTTTTAACCAGCCGATTGAGTATTTTTTTCATGCTGTTTTAAAAGCATTTGTAGGACCTGAATCGAAAAATATTGGATTTCGTGCGATAAAATATTTCATATTGTTTTGGAGCACATAGAAGGCTCAGATCAATCCATACCGGCTATTTTTTTTTACTTTTGATAAAAATGCAAATAGGTACGGAAGGGGGCTCCTGCAATGGCTAAACATATTTACACGTCATGACTGTTGCATCACTCATAAATGAAGGGTTAATTCGATTTACAGTTCAGTATAATTTTTCATTTCCTTTTAGAGGTACCTAACAAGACAACTTGTTCAGTAAGTTTAATACTTTGACCGGATTTTTCACCCCTTTAAACCTGAAAGTTGTTTGGGGTTTTTGCATTACTTAGACCTATAGAGTGCTTCAAATACCTTCAAAATTTACAAGTGTTTCTCTTACACCTTCATGAATGTCCTCTGAAATTGTTAGCTCAGTTGAGTGAAAGTAAGGCCAGAAGTTGGGCTTAGAGTGACAGTAGGTCGCATTTATGCCGCGTCCCCTCTAAATGAAAAAAGCACTTAACCCATTCGCTGTTTTCTCCAAGTCAAATGTATTCTAGAAAAAATCGCTCGGTATTTTGATAGACCTCGACCTCAACTACCAAAAAACACGCACAACTCAATTTTGATCAAAGACGTGTTTCTGAGCTTATGATTTTACTTTTATTTCCATCCTTCCTTTTTCAACACGGAAAACACGAAATGATCCGGACCTCTGTCTCCCCTTCCTTTCCTTCCTGCTTTTATCTACTGTGCTTTTAGTGAGGTCCTGTCGTTTTCTTGTATCTTACCTGTTGAAATAGATACGTATAACGAGCTATGGCTCACAGCTGAAGCGGCTGGGCTCTAATCTCTAGTCTCGAATATCTAAAACTGCACGTATGCGCGTTGCCTTCCAAGCCTCTCAAGTCTAGGGAAAAATATCTATAGCGGCTTTTTATTTTTTGCCTTCAACTTTTTGCGCAGTAATGACTCACACGACGAAAAGTTCGATTTCATCATTGCCTTTTATACACACGCCATGACATTGAGCAAGTGACGAAGAAGGATTAAAGGCAGAGACTCGTTATCGTCTTTTTGTACGACAGTTCTTTCAAATAAACTTACTGTGCTGCCACCACTACTACTTAATTTTGATTACTATTTTACAATCCAAAATGTTTGTCCTCCATATCGAATTTGGTACCAAAAGTTTCAAAGAATTTGTAGAGTTTGTGGCAGTGCTTTAATTCGTATTTTTCCACCCAACGTTTTCGGACATTTCTTTTCGACACATTTGTGAACCATGCATATTGCCCGATTCCCAACTTACGGCTTGTTGATTTCTTTGATGCGTAAATTTTTAATTTACCTATTTAGACAAAATCACGAAGTTTTTATGTGTCGAAAAAAGTGCTGGCCTAAAGCCCACGAATCAAAGTGGGACTTCTTTCTTATGTAAAATTTATGAAACGAAGCCTACAAAATCAAATAGATACAAGCCTTTTTTCTTTTGGCAAAACTAAGATACATTTTTATTTCTGAGCCGCATCCAAATAATTTAAAAAATGGTTAAAAATGAAAGAATGTCAGAAATTGGCAGAAAATCAATTTAAAGAATTAAGGGGGAAGACTCGATCCCCATCAATTTGAAAATTTTCAAATGATGTGTTATTGTGTCAATGTTAGTCATTGAGGGAAATAAAGTCAATCGATGATATATTTGAGAATTTTACATTTTGCCTCCATCATATTAACCATGCATGCTAAAGGGGAAAAAAATAAAGTTTCACCTTCAATGTGTTAAAATCAAGAGAACATACATCAAAATGGGCTAAAGGTATAGTGATGAAAGAAAAAATAGGACCAAAAGGCTGCTCAAATCAGTTTTTCTTTTCAATATTTTCCTGGAAAAACATGGATTTTAAAGTTTAAAATTTTTTAGTCCAATCAAACTGGCCCCGCAAGTAGTAAGTAAAATTTCAGATCCCACATGGTACGAATGACATTTATATTATTAATCTGTTACAGAGAAAAACATCCTAATAAAACGAGAACTTATTCTAGGACGAACAGAATACTAAAAAATGGGACAAAATGCCAAAAAATGGGAACTTGAAAAAATCCCTGTGATTTCATCCCCTGAGGTAGCAAGAGAATTCCTGAATGCCTCACTGTCACTGAATGACGAAACTGACCCATATTCACAAAATGCGAGCAAACTTGCTCTTAGTTTCCGGAATTTTAAGCCAGAGGAAGCCATGCGCCTACTTGTCAATACAGCGTCAGCGAGAAAAATATCCATGAAGGAATTTTTTCAAGAAATTAAGGAATTTATTTATATTGGATTTTGCGAGGATTCTGACGTAAGTTGCGATTCAGAATACACTCGTCTTGGGAACAGATACAAAAAGATCTCTGAAGACCCTGATGCTGGTTCATTTTTCCTCTTGTGTTCACTGTTCCCACATTTTGCTGTCAGACAGGAAATGGAGAACTATATTATCAATTTCTGTAAGCAACGTCTGAGCGCAAGTGAGCCTATCATCGCCGGAAAATTTACCGTTCCTCGGTTTTTCTCCTTCTTCGCCTTTGGGGGGCTAATACCACCCGAGAAAGGGATGATGTTGAATGAACGGACGAGGAAAATGATAATAGTCGTACATTTGTATACTTTACAAGCTTTACATAAAACAAGGGTACCGATGAGTCATTTCTTGATGCAAAAGTACATTGAATGTAGTCAGTTATCAGAGGAGGGAAGATTGGGTGAGCTAATTAAACTCGGTGCTCTCACACAGAGTAAAATTCCGTCAACTCTGACAACCGCGATCTTTGAGTCTATCAGCGATGAATTTTGTAAGAAAGTGGTAGTAGAACTCCGACTCCATTCCGCGGAAAAATCACGAATTCACAAATAATTAGATATTTAGGTCAAATTGGTCTTAGAGCATACTTGTGCGGTCGGAGCATATTGACCAAATCTATATGAAGAAAAACTAGCGAAAATTTGTATGACCAGACAACCCTTGGTGAAATAAATTACTGGAGGAAAAAACTGACTCTCTTCATGTTGATTTGACAATTTTTTTTCCTCTTCTTTTTTTTAATTATTTACCAATTTCTTTTTTTTATAATATCTATGATTTAATGTGCTCGGTACTAGTGATGACCTGACAAACAGGGCTATGCCATCGTCTTTCGAAGAAGAAAATGGAGAAGAAGAAGAAGAAGTGGACGAAGAACATGATTGTTTTAGCAAGATTTTGGGAGTCCGGCAGGTATAATATTTGTAGATAGGCAGAAGTCGAAGTGATGCTCAAACAGTAAGTTTGTGAAAGTTTAACGCATTTATTATCCATAGCTACATATATAATGATATTTTTTCACTATGTAAAAGTCATCCCGTTGGGAAAATAATGAAAACTCATAATACAGCCACCAGCTATTAGTAATTATAGTTATTAGCTTTCTTTCTAATTCTCTCTATTCTAATAAAACCATTCTTAAGACGCTCGATAGACGGGGTGACGGAGAAGAGTAAGACGGCGATGGGCAGGAGTGAGGAAGGGGAGTTCAAAGGTCAGAGTCTTAATAGAGTGGGTCTTTACTTTCAGAGGCCATCGTTTAGTCATGGACAGCTATATGTGACCCTGTCAAGGTCGACGTCCAAAGAGGGGAGTCATTAAAGTATTGTTTGGCCGGGAAATTTTTCATTGAAACATCGTTTCGTTATTCAATTAAAATTATTTGCTCATTAACCGCCAGCGGGCGATTCCGACGATTTCGCTGGCCGCGAATTGGCCTTTGGGGGCGCGCAGCGGCCCGTGGGTTGGGCCGCGTAGCGGCCAGTGGGCAGAGCCCTCTAGTCTCAGTAAAAATCAGACATTTGTTTCTACCACAACGATGATTAAATAAGAGAAATACATGATATGAAATGATATCTCTTGGCTTTTTTGAGAGACCTTCACCTTATCTAATTTGAATGCTATTTTTTCTTCCACGGTGCTTCACGAAAATACCGCACAACCCCTTGAGCATACCGCAGTTAATAAAATGAACTTATTAAGGCTGAATCAAGTCATTTACCAAGAACTACCCCAAATGTAGTCAATCACATAGAATTTTTGTATTTCGTAAAGTTACCTCTGATTTCCTTCATTCGTCCGAGTACATTTACTCAAATATCAAATTTTTACACCAAGTATTTTAAAATTATGTCAAATGTTCACACCAAGAATAATTTATAGTTAAAAATAGGGGGGATGGTTCGCCCCCTGGTGGCCTGGCCGCTGCGCGACCCAACCCGCGGAATGCTGCGCGCTCCCAATGTCCACTTCGCGGTCAGCGAAATCGTCGTAATTGCCCGTTGACGGTTAATGAGCAAATCATTATACTTGAATAACAAAACGATGTTTGGAAGAAATGATTTCCTGCCATTCAAAATTCGTGATGACTTTCTCCTTATACTCTAATTTTGGATTCCTTCTTTGGAAGTTGATCTTCTTCCCCTTCTTCCTCACCCCGTCCATCGGGTGTCTTAAAAATTATTTTATTACATGCCCCCTGGTCGCTTCGCGCTCTCTTAGGCCCGCGTCGACAAAAGAGCGACCAAAAAAAAGGGGAAAGATTTCCATACCCGACTGTCATTTATCCAATCTCCGTCTGGTCGGGAGCGATCATGGACAAATAAGAATCGAATGAAAAAATCGGCATTTATTTCAAACTTTAAGCCAAGACTGAAACGAAACAGGACGAACGAGACGGGGCGTTTCGTCACTTTTGGATAGTCTGTGTAGCAAATTAGGAGCATACCGTCAATTTACTTACCCTACTAACAGACAAAGATTCAACATTTTTCGCTTAATTTCTCGTTTTCCACTAAATTTTAAATTCCTGTCATTTTTCATTGGCGGGAATTTCAAATCCTCCCCCCCCTCCCAAAGCTCTTTGGTCAACTTCTGAGTAAAAAAACCTGGCTCCTGTTTTCAGCTTCTGATCACAGCGGGCTCATCTGAGCACTTTTACCTATCGATAACCGCAAAAATAATGGAAATCGGCCTAGTAGAACGCTCAAACGAACTGTAACAAATAATAAAAATATACACTGTTTAAATGGGAGAATTCGCAACTTTACCGTGTTATATAAAAAAAAAACCTGGGTCATATTTTCAAAATCTGAAAATAGCGGGCTCATTTAGGGACAATCGCCTGTCGATAGCCGCAAAAATTATGAGAATCGGCTCGGTAGAACGCTGGAACGAAACGTTACCAGATATACAAATATAATTTAATAATATAAAATAAATTAAAATAATTTAATAGAATGAAATATATTAAAATAATTTGATAAAATAAAATCAAATAGATTTTAAAAAATTAATAATATAAGACTGAGCCCTAAAGCTGCGGGACCCGTGAGGACGGAGGGACGGGATTAAATATCGAGGGCCGCAGAGTCAGATTTATAAAAATAAGTTACGTAATTTTCTTTTACGTCCCATTGGAGCACGTGGGATCTCGTATGTATTCTCATGGGGAATTTTCAGCCGGAGCAGCTTTGCAGGACGTATAATTTACGTCCTGAAAGATGCGGACGCAACATTTCTACAGATCACGCTGTCAACGTTCCAAAAATAGTGAAGATAGCATCTCAGGACGTAAAATTTACGTCCTGCAAGGTGCGAACGCAACAATCTTTGAGATTGTGTAGTCAACGTTCCAAAAATAGTGAAGCTAGCATCTCAGGACGTAAAATTTAGTACCTGAGAGGAGTGAACGCAACAATCTTAGAGATTGTGCTGTCAACGTTCCAAGAATATGTTAGACTAGCATCTATGATTGTTAGGCCAACATTCTTTGCGGGATGTAAAATTAACACCCTCCGAGATCGTTAATGCCACTGTTAAAGCAAGTCACCGTTACAACCACAGGCGTTGAGGCAACAACTAGATCGGACGTATTTTTAACAAACTTTGACAATGTCAATGTAGCACCTTCATTTTTTTCAGTGATAAGAAGTGTTCAGTTTGGTCTCTTCATTAATAAAACCCTTCGCTAGTGGTAGGGATATTGTAAATATTGTGAGATATTTGTACTACCAATGTGGTATAGTTTTAAATTTTTTTTCAATATCATGGTCTCTGTTGCTTGCCTGCATGGCTGGTTGCTAATTTTCGTCGCCTGGATCGCAACGTTTTTCGCATAAGTGCAAGTGATTCTACCGATGTAAGTGAGGCAGAGACCCAGCCGTGTAACATTAGTAGCCACATACATGCCATGTAGGCAGCGTAAACTATCTATATCGAGATACCGGTATCCAGCGCCTGTCAGGTAGACAACCCGGATAGTATGGCTGTCTCTCCTGACCGATCGCGATCAGCCGTGAGAGAGGATGCGCATATCATTAAGGGCGGACGCGTTGGTGAGGGTAGGGTGGGGGTGACTGGAGACAAGAATAATAACAATAAGGGTCATAATTCGGGAGGTTCCCGCATCGAAAACCGCTCCGGCCGGGATTCGGCTCGCGTTTTTCGCCGCTCTATTTTTATGAACTCTCTTTTACCGTTTTACGATCCTCTCACGTGCCGACTTGAACATTTCACCTGCCGCCTGTCCTCTGCTGCGGCTACCTCCGCCATGTTTCCGTCTGGGATTGAGTATTACTTGAATAGCTATATAGGTACACATTTTTAAGAGCAGCCCGAGACAATGATAACAGTGGAAAAACAAGGGAGGAAACGGGAAACAAGGCTAAAGTACACTAATAATAAACAAGCAGTGAACTCCAACACAATGTGTTGATTAGGTGCGTCATTAACTTGCACATATCAACCCCTTTAGTTCTCATTTACAAAGATTTCAAAATAGGCAAGTAGCACAACAAGAGAATTCATACGATCCAACACTTCAACGACATACTTTGACGAGACCGTGTATTGTGAATGTAGAAAGCTATTCGAACGAATTTAAGTTTTTTGATCTGCCTAAAGCAAAATCTTATCAGATTCTTGAAGAAAAGTGCTGCGGAATAATTTAAGCGAAGAAAGGAAAAATTCTGTCGAGCTCTTAGAAGACAAAGTCGATTTAAAGGTATTTTGGGGCTAAAATACCAAAATCACCGGTAGTATAAATCCCGTTATATTATTGAAAAGAAATTGACACGATATAAATGCAATTGCTTTAAATATGTCTTGATGTTGTTACTTTAAACGTCTTTCGATGGAAAGAAGTTCAACCATGTTTATGCTTTATTCATTCATGAATTAAAAGTAAGAAATCTACATAACGAAGATCTACCGATTTGCCGTAAAAAATCGCAGAAACTTGATATACCAGGTCGATGTATCCACTCGTTGAATTTACCGATCAATTTAGTGAGTGCACGTATGTGAAAGTCGAAATGCTATAGTCATTTTGGGTGCATTCATTTTTCATGAAACAATTTTAAGTAATTTCAATCCCAAAAACCATAAATTTTCCGTATAAAATCGAAAAAATCAAAATATGTCGTCTCCCTGACGTGAAAATTAAATTCTACGTGTAAAAATACATATGTATCGATATGCTGAACAGAATGCCCGCCTCTCCTCGTAATTTACAAACCGTTCCTATACTCATCTCAAAAGTTTTCTCAAAGCTTTGTGTTATTATCAGCTTTCATTTAAACCCCGGTTTGATGGCCGAATCGGCTTCTCAAAAAGCAAGCCATTTTTGAAGGGCTCTATGAGAAATTCGTGATATTATCAGCTCTCAGGAAATCACCCCATGGGTAAAATTGCTGGTTTAAATTTTCGAGTGCTTAAAATAATCGTATTCAAGAAACTAAGGCATTAAACTAAGGAGTCAATTTCGTTTATAAATACAGGGTGATCCAGACCACCCGTCTACTATCTTTTTCTCGAAAACGGCGGAGAATTGAGCTTCGGGACCAAAACTTTCACAGGGTAAATCGACCCCGAAGAATCGAATGAAAATATTTTCAGCCTCCCAAAATGGCCCCTTGGGGGGGTTTTGGGGGGGAGCCCTCCCGTTTCCCGCAATTTTCAAAAAGAAAGGGTATGTTTTGACTTTTGATTCGGAATCTACGGTAAAAAATAAGAACATTTTGTTCTTTGCACTTTTTCCCTAAACCCCCATTTTTTGGAGTTATGGGGCATTTTTGGGGCAATTTTCAATTCGACGCTGTAAGCGGCCAAATCATCCAAATTTCAAAATCTAAAAATCTCCTGAAAGGAGAAGTCAATACCTTTTTATTGATGTGCCACATGACCCCTGTTGCTCCAAAATTTTGGGGGCCACGACCCCCCAAAAATTTTGGGGCTTTGGAGGGCCATGAGTCGAAAATGTCGAAAGGCAAGGGTATGTTTTGACTTCAGATTTTGATTCTACGCGAAAAGTTACGCAGAATTAATATGGCGCATGGCCTGTTTGCTCAAATTTTTTTTACCCCTTATTTTG